GCCAGTTAATAGACTTTTTTGCCGTATGAATATACGTTGCCCAGGGTGCACCACGTGGAGGTAAGTCTATCGCACACCCCATGCCTAGAATTATTGCTCTATAAAATCTAGTTGTACATTGCATCCTATATGTTGTGATAGATTATATAGTCTTGAAACTAAAATTTCATGTTGGTACTTATTTACTTCTCGTCTTATATTATTTAGTCTTCCTGTTCTAGTAACAGCTATGACCAAGTTATTAGTTGGTCATAATTTTAGCCCTGCCATTTTTGATTCAATAGGTGAAGGTGTTCCGGTTTTATTGCAACATATATTTTGATTTTTTGGTTATCCATAGAGTTGCGTTATAATATTGCCTTCTTTTGGGATTAAAGGTGACATATGCTTAAGATTAATAGCAGGTGATTTTTGGGTTCTATCACTTTTTATTTACAATGCTTTCTATTATGTGTTTAGGATATGAGGTTTGAGCCCATCATATGTTTACTGCTCGTTTAGATATAAAGACAGCATTATTTTGAATTGTGCGGTTTAAGTCGCCGTATGCACATTTATGACGGTGACTGTAAATGGGTTAATTTAATTTGATCCGTAGGTTCATTTATGACATCATTTAGAGCATGTTTCTCCGTATTATTTTATGAGAATCGTTAGTACGAAACAATAAGACAATTTGATTATATGGATCTTCCTCATATATAAGTAGTTTAATTCGTATAGGGCTTATGTCATGTCGTAAAGATTATGCTACATGTAGAATAAATATGCGGAACTATCACAAAGTAAGAATGATTGGGTTATTTAAGCCATTTAAAAGTAAGGTTTTGTAATTCCAAGATAATCGGTATTATTAGTGACCAAGAATTAATTTATTATTTGAAATATATTTTTGATTCAATTGTTTTTTTGCATCACGCTTAATTAATTTTAAGATGCATAGTATTAACTAAAAGTTTCAGATCTTATTTATAAGTTTCTTACTTAAGTTAGCTTGTCAAAATCATAAATGAGAAGTGGAAAATTAATTACTGAAATTTTTATCCGTTCGTTTACTTTTTCATTTGACATTTAGAGTTATGAAAATTTTAATGAGTTTACATTGTGTAAAATAAATGCCTGTCATGATGTATGAAGGTTTGGTAAATAATCGAAATATGCATAGCCAGCTCATGGAAACGAATGTTTAAGCTGTAACATTAAATGCTAAAAATAATTAAAACCACGGTTTGGTCACAGTTTAACCAAAATGTATCCAGGTTTCAAACTTGGCACTAACTTTAAGTGGGAATTAAGCTGAATCAGAGGTAATTTCATCCATTGCCAGGAAGAAATGCGAAGAATGAATCGGTATTTCCTCTACTACGTGCCAAATATGCGAAGCTGTCGTTTTAGTGTCTTCGCGTAACTTCTCAAGTATTTCGCACTTTCAACCCTTCCTCAAGTGATTCGTAAGAGAATTACAACGAGTGAATTTGTGATAATATGTAACCAAGTTGGCAAATCTGTCATTCGCTTTCTGCACATGTATGTTTGAATTCTTAAACAATGCTGGTATCATTAAAATGGAAGTAGGATACAATCTTACTAATTTCAAACAAATTCAAGTTCCTACATTCCTGGTAAAAGTAGGTGTGGAACTTCTTAACTTTAGCATAAGGGACATAAGAAATTTTGGAATTCGATGATGGATCAATGCAAGTAAAAAGCGTACATAAAAATTCCAAATATTTTAGAAACTACACAGAAAGGCATAAGCGCCAGCTTTCGTAATGCTCAAATGCAGAAAACTTCACTGCTGACTTGCCCTTTAAATTCATAATGTCATAGGAAACCAGGTCTAAGTAAGGGTTGAATCAAGGCATCATAAAAGGTACTACAAGTAGGATTTGAACATAGAGATACAAAGTTTTAGATATTAAATTTGGAAAATAAGAAGAAAATTAAACTAATAAAAATGGGGAGATATCCAAACAATTTAGGTTAGAGCTTGCGTCACCTTAACATGAACCATTTCAGGATTGTGTTAGAGATTATTTTTGCAAGGCAATTTGGGAGGAAAACTGCACTGATTAAAGGGAATTTACTTGGCGTTTTATTGTCACATTGCGCAACGTACTGTGATTTATTTGACATCAGAAAAATAGCTTAACTTTTGAAATCGCTCAATTGTAAAGAGAGTGAGTGTGAATCAGTTGCATCTCAATTTCAGCATGTCGTTATGTCGGTATAAAGTTAGAATTTAAAGCTTTTACACCATGTTAAACTTTTTTAGAAATAACTCTTTTAATTTCTTAAATCGCTTTACCTTGCTCGATATCTGAGTGCAAAATGTCTCCCTCCGTCATGGCTTAAATTTGAACTGTTGGAGTAATGCAATAGAGAGTCTTAATTAACTCGACTAAGAAATTTAACTTTTAATAATAGTATCATCTTAAAATCTCGCTAAGTAGCGCTTAAAGTATGCGAACTACAATAAAAAGATCACTTTAGACAATAAGAAGTAGTCTGTCAGAAGTCGGGATATTAATTTGATTAGATATTGATTCCATGCAACATTAATCAGCTTAACCTTATTCAACTATCAATTTTTGCGGCACTTTTCATTTTAACATCACTCGCAATTTGTGACAACACAAAAAATTAAAAAATGGCAGTGGCAATGGTTTCAAAATATTATTATTTCAAATGGCAGGTGTTTTGAATAGTTATCATTAGGCATTTAGCTGACTTCGGGCTTCACAGAGGGAGGAACATCAAAGTGAGAAAAATTCGAGAGGGGGAGCAAAAGAGTGATTCACAGATGTAGAAGAGACAGACAGACACAAAGGTAGGGACAGAGGTGAGGTGAGTACTGTGGAAGTTGTGGAATATGACATACAGTGGGGTGATGGCAGTTTGAAATCAGAAGTCAACTGCCGGTTTATAGACTTTTTTGCCGTATTAGTAAGCGTTGCTCAGGATGCACCACGTGGGCAATCCCTGATAGCAATCACACTATTATTAATCTAATTCATCTTTGGCTTATAAATCTCGATAAGCTAAATACTTCTTCGAATGCATTTTCTGATGGTCACTACCTTTATCGAAATAAAATCCAAATGCTAGTTCAAAAAGTAATGAAAACATTCAGTCAAATAGTAAGAAACGCAATGGGGACCATTGTCAAGATATGTTTTTCCTGTGGATCTATTCCGCTAAAGATCTTCAGGAGAAAATCATAATAGCTTTATGCAATTTTTCTAACTTGTCTTCTGCTATTTGATGCCAATGCCTTGACTATTTTTTAATCAAATAAGTTATTCTTTATGATTTCTGAATAGAAATGTATTATAAACGTATATGAATGCAACCAGAGTGGAAAGACATGCACCCATAATATCGTCAATTTGGAGGGATATAAAAAATGAGGAGAAATTAATTCATATGTGGCGCTATCCCATCCATTCAAGATGCATTTTGTTACTCTTTTCGCATGTGGCTTTGAACAGGCTAGGACTAGGTGTTCGAAGAACCTGGGATTTGAGCTTAGGCATATTAATATTCTGAGTAGTCCAAATAGCTCAAATAAGACAAAATTTACTTCCAAATTAAATGTATGCACATTGTTTTGCATATGACATGGTTCGTATACTCAAAATTTAATTTTAAACTGGCCGAGTATACATTATTCGACTTTTAGTTTCTAGGATAAGAAAGTGTGAATTGATATTGTTAATATAACATTTGAATGTAAATTTTTTTACTGATGTAATTGCCATCATTTCACACCTGTCTTACTTCATAAGGCCATTGACAATGTGCTCATACGTCTGTGTCACCCGCCCCCCCCCCCACCCATCCACCCACCCTCCATTATTTTTGACCGACTATGCTTCTACAATGCTGCTATGGTTCAATTTATTTAGCCATCACAACATGATGCCTTCAGACCGTATGTTGTAGTGTTCTTTGACTGAAATGTATGCGAATAACAACACCACTCTACTGAATTTTTATCACTTCTTGAGCATTGCGACTGCTGGTATTTATGCCAGCATCAATTCTGATTCGTGTTAGACTGAATTCTGATTCTCCGTGTCCATAATGAAATTTCAAATCAATTTAGAGAAGGGCCAAAATTTCAGATTGTTTTACTGATTATCTTAAACGTATTCCAGCAGAAAAGTGAATATATTGTAAATGAATAATTCAGTTCCTTTTAAGACTGCATCTACTTCTCCAATTTTTGCCATCTTATATCGATTAAGGCATTAAACGTAGCATGCTTACTCTATTGTCAAGTTGGCAGCAGTTGCCATAACACATATTCTTTACTTCTCGAGTGCAGATGGTGAAATCGTAAGTATTTCAATATCGATTTCACATCCCACCATAAAAAAAACTACGTAAACATCTTGAGATCCCGCTCCAGTGTAACTCTTTCCTTTTAAGTTATTGAATGATGACATAAATCCAATATTACCTATTGAAAAGTAACTCATATTTAAATGAAAGCAGAATATTAAGGATCCCTTCCTTTGTACCATGCTGAACCTGATATTGAGCGCTTGCGCGGGTCAAGTAATATACTCTGTTGACTAATTTAAATTATAATATGATATAAATTTGCAGTTCTGCTTTCAGAGGGGAGGGGGCTTCTTTGACCTTGATCACTATTTATATAAGCCAATATTATTAAAAATGGCCCAAATGCAAATTTGAAAGATAATATTAACCGCTATTCCATTACAACGCTCCGATCTACCTATCTATTAGAGAAAGCTAGTTGATTGGCAAATATAATTACCTATATGTTTTAAGAAAGAGCGGCATATTATTACCCTAGGAACTGGTAAGTGTTGAAATATAATAAATAATAAGACTAGTGTTGCAAAGAAATTTACACTTTATTATTATTGTAATTTTTTATTTGAAGTGGATTTTTAGAGATCGCTAAGATAATTATACTAAAATTGCAGTCATTAAAGGCATAATCTTCGGTTAAGTTATCTTAAAATTTACAGGTTATTCAATAAATCGACTCTGTCCTCAAACGAATCACCTCTACTTAATAGAAGGGTACGACGTTTTCCAGCTTGCAAATTCGCTCGAATTTCTATCATTGAAGGAAAAGGTCTTTTCATCTCACTGACAGCCTCAGCATCTTCTTTTTCAACATGATCCGGTTCGGTCGTATCAAAACCAACCGTTGATTTGGACTTTATCATTTGAGGCTTTTTCCCTGTTGTTATCTCCGATTTCTTATAGCTGTTTGATTCTATCTTTATCGAATTCCTTTTTTCAACTGCACTGCCGAGTCTAGTAGCTGATTCCTTTTGTCCTGTAAAAGTTTCTCGCTTTGTTTTTGGAGAATTATATTCGCGGCTGACCACTCGAGATTCACGATTTTTCTCTATTTTATCCTCACGATGATTAATTCCCTCAGTTCTTGTACGGGCTTGGCGTATTCCATCCTCTTCAATATTATTAACGAGATTGTTTTCAAGAGTTCTAGTTAATCTTTTATGAGATTTACTCTCTTTTTCTATAGCCTCTTTCGGTACATTTGGAGGGATGGTGTTTGAACTAAGTTTGCGTTTTTCTTCATGTTGATTTGGTATCAGATCTTCCTTGCCTTCTCCCTTACCGACACTGTCATGACGTCTGTGTTTGTTGGAATGATTCTCATCAGCATCAACGGTGGATAAAATTCTATTTTTCAGCTTTAAACCAGGATAGATCGATTCCTTTCCATTTTTTTCGTCCTTATGCCTAAGCTCTCGATTCCCTTCCATTGATTTGCTCTTTCGTTTAGTTTCATTAATCCCCTTTGATGATGACTGAAAAGAAAGCAAAGAGATCTAGGTAACACACACACAAAACATGCTTGGTCTTGAGTAGACTTCTTAACCTCAAAATAACCTTGCATGCATAATAGTACTATCATAAGAAGAAGACACGGAAAGAAAAGTATTGGGAAGTAAATAATTACAAACTGTGGTAAAACGCGTTTCTAAATCAAATTCAAGATTAAAAGTTTATGCGTATCTAAACATTTTATTTTGTAAAAATATACACGTTGGTGTCCAATAAAAAATGAAAAATGGCTAAATGGTTTAATTCAATTTTTTAGAGTATAGGCGCAATAAAAATAGAAAATTATTAGTAAAATCTGTGAATAGCTACCAAGAATGATTGAAATTTGTAGATGAATAAGTTAGTTTAATTCATATTTCTAACAAAAAAGTATGCTCGATTCATGACATTTAAAATTGCTCAAACTTTATTAATACTTAAGAAATAGAGGGAAAATATAAAGATCAAAAACTTCGTCCATTACACTGATTGTTCATCAGGAAAGTAAATCTTTTCAATAAAAACACCCTAAAAGGTTCTGATAAAGCAGCATTTATATTACTATTTCATGGATAAAAGCAAAAATCCGTGGATCTTGGCAATCAGTCTTATGATCGACATCAATGCTCACAAACATCGCAGGAGAACAAAGATAGCAAAAATTCAATACAGTCAAATGCTTTTGCTCGGTAATTGTCAATAAAAAGCGTGACTAAAATTCAATTCATAATTAGATGAAACTGGTGAAGGGGAGAGAACGTGGCCGACAAAACGATTGCTAGGGCATATTTGAGACGACAGGCTAAAATACCGGTTAGTTTGCTAGAAAAGCAACGTGCTTCAAACTATTAGTTATTCATTTAGGAATTCAAGAAGTAGTGCAATACGATATATGCTCATATTTGAGGTGTATAATAGCAGTCCAGATAGTAATGTTGTCTACGCGTAAATATTAAAATACTAAGATTCTACAAACAACGAACAAAATTCAAGCATGAGACTCAACTTATTGATTCAATTGCGGTATCCAAATGATTCAACTTCGGTAATGCATAAAAGCACCCACAAAGGTCAAGTATAATCACTATCGAATTGAGTTCGCATTAACGGCATGCAAAATACTAGGCATAAAAATGATTATAGGTAATAAGTGGCCCTTAATTGAACCTCACACAATTATAAAAAATATAGGTTAATGATCAATATTTAAAAAATCATTCATTATATGGCTTCCAAAGTGATTTAACTTACAAAACCAACATCGGCAGTAATTATTTCGTGTTCTTTAATTGCTACTATAAGAAAAAATGAGTACTTATAAATTACAATAACAGCAGATAACAACCACAAATTTCACAAAAAAATAATTTTTATAGATTTTAAGAAAATATGGCAACATACGTTCTTTTGTTAAATCACCTACCGCCTGCAAGTCTTGTGGAGTAGCCTTTCTTGTAACGAGAGACATATCATGATCTACATTTCTGATAACATGATAGACATATTCGTGTGACATATTATCTAAATAACATAATTTTGGGCAATTAAACATATGAAAAATATATATTTAAATGAAATTATTTGCAATGGTCAAGGCGATACTTACAACAAGGAATCTTATTAATGGTTACAATTACATCATTAAGAGCAACTCCAGCTTTTTCAGCTGGAGTATCATTGTATACAGCAGTAATAAAGGTTTGGCTGTCAACGGTTGTTATTTTAAAACCCCATGCATCACTAGTTCGGGACCTCCAGAGATTGTACTTCTGCAGTCCCTTCTCAGACATATTCAAGAACCCGGTATCAACAAGGTGACCCTATTCTCGCATTCACTTTGTTTAAATAAACAGTGAAAAAGAATATATGAGCTCACATTAGAAAATGCAAAAAAATTATTAATTAATAGCAAAATAATTATACTCAATTTATAGAAAGATTTAAGCTTGTATTGCAATAATGTTATGATATAATTAATTAAGTATTAATAAAAAACGAATTTATTTTGTCTGGTAGCGAAATCAAGCATTTTCTGGATGTATCGCATTGTTCCAGTTATTGAACAGCCAAATAAGTGGCGAATTACTTTTAACATCAATTTTAAATGGGATTTTATGTATATTTTATAAAACTAATATGAAAGGGACTGAACGAATAAGATACTTCCGGTTAAGTAACTGATAAATGCTCTCTTCTACCATTAGGTTTCATGGAGGAAACTGGTTAAAAAGGATATATTCTCACTAAATAAATAACTTTTGAGTACTTTTTGCCTGTTCGGATTCTGGGAGGTTGATACCCGGATTTCTCATTTACTCCAAAATTTTGCATATGCATACATATTTTGTTCGACAAAAAAGCCTTAGTAACATAATGGTCACTTACTGTCACAAATTAAAGAGATTATGGTTGGCGTTCAATGATCCTGAACACAGTGAAAGAATAAGGCTTGAACTGAAGAATAGAAAGTGAGTTTACGAGGCTATTATTACTTGATGAAAGTAGCACAGTAAGCGATCTAATTTTCATATCGTAACCAAAATTAATTAAATGCATTAGCTTCTGCCGTTAAGTTTACACTCGATGAAGACCTTCACTACTATTCATGCAAACAAGAATCGTATAGGCCTACCTCTCAAAGGAAAGTGGATGATCTTCTGAGCAAAATAGAATGTACTACTGTAGTACAAACCATTGATTCTTTTCTGATGGAAAAAGCTTTTGTCAAGATAAAAGCACAACACACAGAATAACAGATGGCTTGCATGGCATTCAGTTGTCCCTCCTCGAGTCACGTAGACTCATGGCTTTAGGAAGTGCGCCCTCCTCTGCGATTGATGTGCCAACTGAAGAGAAGTGGGGGCCATACTGCATATGGTTGCAATAGACGGCAATGGAGATCATTCTGAGTAAAACCCTTTCATAATAGTGTAATTCCATTGTCTGCTGAATTTCCTTTAAGTATATTAATTTTTTGCTCATAAACCTTATTAACCCAAACACTTTGGGATTGCCATTCCATTGGTTATCAGTATTGTGTTAATACGTTGACTACTAGAGGAAAATATTGGATTTGAAATGGCACTAAACACCAAGAGCATCAAGTAGCTGTTCAAAATTCTCTGGAATTCGTTAGCAAGGAACGAAGCAATTAAGTAAAACGAAACAAAGCTAATCGAAGATTCAAATGAAATGCGCCTCCTTCAAAAACCTGGAAAAATTCACTTGAAGTCTTGTCATGGCTTTTAAATTCTAAAAATAATTAAATTAGCACTAAATATAAGCGAAAAGACGTTTTGTCTAAAGTAGTGAAAACACGGAGTGCGATTATTTAATCTATGGCAACTTACAAGCAGGCTTTGTGATAGTTATCATTAGCCCTTTAGTTGACTGCGGACTTCTTAGAGGGGAGGAACATCATAGTGAGGAAATTTGAGAGAGGGAAAGAGGAGTGATTCACAGATGTAATGAGACAGATGGACAAAAATGCAGAGAAAAGGTAAGATGAGTACTGTGAAGCGGTCGAATATGACATACATACATACACAATAGGAAGGAATGGTCAGTTAGGAAGAAATAAGTGCTTGCGATTATGGATCTTCTTGCAGCCTTTCTTAGAATAGAAATCTTATAATTACATTGCCAATATTAGCTAACCTGACCCGAAACTTTAGTTTTGCTGATGCTTCATTTATAGTCCACACAGTCCGTCAAATAAATCCTTCGAGAATTAAGCGACATTTTGGCTTTTCGTTTCATCAATGAATAAATATGAATTAATCACTTTTAGTTATACAAGCATTTCTTCCACCCTGACAATAGTGCCACCACCTCTGAAAAGACTCAGTTTCATTGTTATTTTAGTGCAAAAATGTTATAGCAGATGAGTAACTCATAATTTACAAGAAAGTAACAAAAAGAAAAACCAAGGGTAAAAGGCAAATAAAATGTAAATTATGCAGTGAACATGTTTGGTTGAGAGGAAGTGAAGAGTGATTTGCGATTAACGAGATTTCGAAGACCCTCAATCTCGTTTTCCTGTAGCTGCGCTTCAGCAGTGGCCTCGGCTAACTACAAACGAAATATCAATGATACAACTGTTGCTATGACGATAGAACATTACAAAGTCCTTTAAAATAACACAATTTACGCTTTAACCCTTCTACGTCCAAAAGATTATAACAAATTTCTAAAACTTACATTAACGAATTACATACAAGGGTCAAGCTTCGCAATAAGAAGGCCTAAATTCCCATTAAAACAAAAGCCCTCAAGCATATTAATAAAATAATGCATAGTCTTGAGTTACCAATCAATACAAAAGTAACAGAGAAATGCTCGAATTTCATCCTCTCTATCATCCGAAAAAGGTAAAGTCGACAGCTACGTACAGAGGTCTAGAGAAAGATTACAAACCAAGTGGCTCAGGAAAGACGAGACACAGGATGCTAATTGCTTATAGAAGAGGATCTGAATCACTATATGCCTATCCAAGGGGAGTGTTTAAGAGTAGTTGCCTTCAATGACATTGAAACTGCATTACTTAAATTAAATTACCGAATCTACTTGTTATGAAAGGAAAATAGAAGTACATATGTGGGATCTGCCTCAAAATAAGGATAGAGAAAAAAGCAAATAGTCTAATAACAACAGTTCAGCTGTCCGTTATTTGAAGGAAGTCCTACTTACTCAACATAATGATTAACGATGAATAACAGCCTTGCTTTAAATGTTGCAGTAGACCTGAAAATGTATATGTGCTCAAACTATAATTTAGAATTAAAATTTCTCGGATTCATTAACCGATAACGCTAAGGAAAACATGAAAAGAAACTTGCATTTCACTAGCTCACTGTTGACCAGAATTAAGTTGAGCAGTTGGTCATCTGCATTATCGGAACAGTGATCTCCTGCTATCTGATTTTGCACACCTACTTGAAGTATAACTTTCCAGCTCATTCCAACATCGTCCTCCTGGACTCTCAAAGGGGAGAAGATCAGAACAAAGAAATACAGTAGAGAGAGAGAGATAGCTTACCATATTGAGAAGCAAATCCACTTTGACTTTAAGGAGATTGTTTTCTTCGTAGAGTTTTCGATTCTCCTTTTTCAACTGAGCAGCCTCCTTACTCGCCTTTTCGTCCCAAGTACCTTCCTCTTCTTCGGAAATTAAAATAATAGCAGAATATTAATTCATGGTTTTAAAAGTAACAAACATCGAAATTTGAAGTAGTTAAAAGACCTGATTTATAGATAACTTCGACCCTATGATGCTTAAGATAGTTGTGTCGTTTCATTATTATACTTTTATGCTTCCAGCTTAAATTGTTTGCTGTTAGAGACCTTGGGAGTCTTTGATTCCATCTCACCATTTCTAACGAATTGCTTGCAATAAGCCCTCATTCAGACCATGCTTCCTACCATATCGTGGAAACCAACACTTGACACCCCCAACCCGCTTTCGGCACGGCGTACTACTTGCGAAACCTACTATTAAAATGGTATATCTGCAGTTCTAACGTGCTATTTCTAAGTTATGCGACAGTTAAACAACCCGAAGTTGCTAACTTATCAATCTTAATGAAGACGGATTTAAAAGTTAGATGACTATTTACTGGTAACTTCTACACAGAAGCGAGGGGTGTAGGATGCTTCGGGAGACCACCCCAAATAAAATAAGCACCACTTTCATGCAATAAAGGGGTTTCTATGAGACCAAAGGCATACGAGAATATAAACCATGACTCAACCGAACTCGAAGTCCATCAAATATATCAAGCAAAGATAAATTTTAAAATAGTAACTATTCTGGGGGAAAATTGGATTTCCATATATCCTCAATTCAGGTCTTCATATTCGAATCGCAAAAGAAAACCATACTTGTCAGTGTTGGGGTTAAAATGCCTAAGCCTCTTCCCTCCCGAAATAGATTTCTACATTCGAAACTTCCCATTCAAGATCACTAGTGAAGAACCCGTCGTTACGACCATTACCTAATCAGACAACAGATAATTTATCACGCATTCAAATGAATATTCGCAAACTTATTTTCTAAATAAAAAGGCTTCTTCCTAATAGTCTTGATAATAATATTTCAACATGAGTAATGACAATGGAAACCACAACTATCATAGTGAATGTAATATTTTAACGAAGCGTAAACGTCATATTGAGAAACCGTACCGACTCGCCAGCGGCCATTTTTAAAGACGAGATTGCGCCCACTAAGTCGGGCCTTCACGATGCCATAATCCAAACCAAATTCGTTGCTCCTCGTGCTGGCGTCCAACTGACTCAAATTTGTCATGCTAGAGGCTTTCCGAGGAGGCATCTTAGGCAAGGTGAACTTCTTCCCGAAGATTGTCATTGCTAAACCAAAGCAACTATTTTGTTTAGCTTGATTCAAAATATACTCATATATTACAAAAGAAATACAAAATGATTATATCTATTTAACTGTTGAATGAAGTGCGTTATAAAAGAAACAAAGACTTCAATTATCTCAGAATGTCAAGTTTCTTAATTTCCTACACCCAAAGAGGTGCGAAGGCGACATCGAAGCTAAGTCCTTTTTTCCACAACACCAATAGCGGAGTGCGAATTCTGGCTCTTATAATCAAATGTCTATTTTGTATAATATCTTAAAATATCGAAGTTAACGGTAGATCAGAAAAGATTGAAATCAAGGAAATGCCATGACAAACCAGCTCAGAATGTCACGGACAAAAAACCAAATCTTGAGGACAGGTAGTAGGACATTAAATATGCACTTCCAAAATAACACTCACTGATATCCACAAACCTTTTTGCTCAGGTAGGACTTTACTCACTTTTCCACTGCTTTAACATTTTTATAAAATTTCACTCTGATAAAGAGGAAAATAGAGAAATGCGCTAAATCCCCTCAAATTTTCTTTCCCATTTAAAATAGAGATCCAATTCACAACATGGAAATTGAGAGACACAACACAGATATAAAAAGTCAATTCGTTAAGAAAACCTCAAGTGCCCCGAGGACTCATGGATCCTAGAACGTTTCTTAATGAAATATCGATTTACACTAAGCAGGTAGTCTATCAATAACTTCTAGGCTTTCGCCAGCATTGGACAACCAAGGGTTAAAAAACGTCGCAGGAACTGCAAGGGCTGTTGATAATTAATTTTTTTCATAATTTATAAATGTTTTAAAATTGAGCTGAATATAAACGACGACCGAAACAAAGGGATCACAATATCGATTGGCTGAGTACGGAAATTGACTCTGATATCAGTTCGGAAAGGTTCAGACTTCAAACTGTGTTAATTTGTGTTTTAGGCTTCAAGATAACTCCACTAGTCAACATTCTGTGGCATATTTCAAGTCTACCAAATTGTTAATTATTTAGATCGAAAACCGAATATTTACTTAAGACATTAATACACTTATTGCCTTAATCTATATCAACATGGGCCGTTCTTAAATAAAGAGTAACTTTTCAGAATCTTCACCTGCGAAAAAAAACAAGATGGTGTCATGTATTTCCAGGCTAAGGACAAGGCTCCTAAAAATCGCTAAATCTGGCAGTATGAGAAATATATTCTGATGCAATTTGTAGAAGAAATGGGAAGCAGTGATAACAGACGAAACATGGACACAAATTTAGAATGTGCAACGAAAGTGAATTAGAAGAATTGAAGGCATTAATAATTACATCTTTATTAAAGAATAAATTCGTACATAGCGAATGAAGACAGGTAAGAGAAGGGGAAGGAAGGAAAAAGATGTCAGCGAAGGAGACCTTCATGGTGAAGAAGACGCAACTGGTCACCGATTTGAGTGTAAAGTCCCTTCGCTAATAGAATTGCAAGAAGCTGAAATCCAAACGGAAGAAAGTGAATTAAAATTTATTTCACAAATGAATCTAATAAATGATAAGTGAGCACAATTCACGGATCTCTGCTTAAATTAATATATTTAGCGGTATAAACTAGACTATACTAAAACAGAAAGCTGCGGAATTGCATTTAGGATTTGTAAGTAAGCTCTGGACATCGTATCTAAGCAAATTACTGCAACTCAGGGGAGAAATTATTAAGTTCACATTTTGGCATACCCATCCAGAAAATAGAGCACAATTCGATATAACAAATAAAATACATCAAGACTCTGATGTTCTTTTAACAAGTGAATCGATGTTCCTAAAGCTCAACTTAGACGTCGTACTTCTGATTTAATGAATCACTCCTTTCATGAAAAAAAAGCAAACTATTCCTCCCTACACATGCAGATACTACTTAGAGATTAGAGTTGTAAAAACTTTTACTTTGCTAGGAGAAGCAAAAAAATAAAACAGGAAATACAAACAAGAATATACAATAGCTTAAAAAGGTGCGGAACTTCCTTGGCACGCTACTTACTCTAATTACATTAGAGGATAACACTTGGCATATGCCGTCGGCATGCTGGAACAAATCAGAGCAATCGTTTGCCCGACTAGCTGAGGTTATTTGCCATATTGGACAGACTGATTAATAAAATTTTTACGGCCGATGAATCTATTCGAAATTCGAATAGCTTCAGCTTCCTAGAACCCACTGCTTTAGATCTGCACCGTGGTATAACAAAACAAATAATTAACAGATTCATATAGCATTTGCTTACATTGTTAATAACAGTGCACTAAAATCGTAATGAGGTTAGGGCATTAAGACCCATAAGTTGGAACTATGAAGTATTGCGTTGTCCAGAAACTCATAATTCGCATATTAATATAGCAAAGCCGGGTTTCATGAATTGACACAGTTTCATTGGTGAGATTTAGACCCCAATAGGTAATCGATTGATTTAGTTTCGTGGATGATCACTCCATCTCGCTATTTGGAAACTTCTTACAATCAGTAGCGAGTAGGTAATGTGAGTCAAATTAAGACAATTCGCAAGGGATTCACAGACTAAAGAGGCAGCTAAGAGAAAAATTGTCAAGATTTAGATAATCTAATTTATTGCAAAGGTCTTCAACGAAGTGGATATATAGAGAAGTGGGGCCTAAAAAAGCAAGATTGTTGAATCCCGAGTATCAAACATTTTTATCTCTGGCATCAAAAAGAACAATGAGTAACTAGAAATGAAGATAATAACTATTTTTAAAGCCTCCCACCTTGGAGTAAAAGTAGTCAATGACTCCAATTTGGAACAAGATGAGAAAATTGGATACGGATTTAGAAACCCGTTTTCCAAACACACTTTACTATAGAACACCATAGCCCAGTTTTGATAACTGTTCTTAATTGGCAAGCGATATTAATAAAAAATATCGAGATAAATACAAATATGTCAGCTGAATTGTACATAGCCAGTGGGGGTAGTACGTGGAAAAATTGACTGAAGTAAAAGAAGGAAAAAGGAAAACAGCATTTGCTTGCCTGCAAAACGGCGATTCCCGAGACGACACAGGAGACAGGGACGACGTTGCTTTCAAGGAGGGAGGCGAGGGCTTGAACACAGCCGACCGTCCAGACCAGTGGGGAGGCCTGTGGAGGTGATAAGTTCTGTACTCCGTGGCCACATGACGTGTTGATCACATTCTCCTAAATATCAAGAAGGAAAAAAGGTGGCAACTGGGCAAATCTATAAGTATAACACGCACGCTTATCTAAGAATAGGAAACCGTTAAGCAAAGAAATCGAAGCGATAACAATCACAACCTAATAGTAATAGCCCAATATTAGTCCAGCCATAATGGAATATAAGGGGCCATAATGAACATTGATGCGTATTCCTGCTTTATAACTACACTAGTTACTGTGCGTCAAATGACATTAATAAGCAATCAGCGTAGTTGGATGACTAAAAATGAAAACCAATATATAAATTTGCAGTATTGTAAAGATCGCGTGCTTTCAACTTATCCGATTCCAAACCTGCCTACTTTCTCGGCTGCTAAACGGAAGAAAAATTGTCTGAGAAATATAGGATGACGAAAATGTAAATATAAAAGAATATTTTATGCAACCACTAACCAGACATTTTAATGCTTCAAAAGGTTCTTGTTTAAGTCCTAAAGACAAAACAATAGGTTTCAGAACCAAAATAGAGTAAGTCACCAAATCAATTACCACACTTCCGTAAATTGTATGTGAAAATCGTATCCCTTACAAGACATTTCGATTTACTGCGTTCGATAAAATAGCTTACATTTGTAAAAGTCGTAAAACTGGTTCCGATAAAAACGCCCAAAATTAGGATTTGATGGGTGTGATTATTTAAGGAAACGTAATATAGAAACGGACTGCAAGATGTGAATCATTCACTAATGTACCGTATGTTGGAGATTAGAACACAAAACGAATCTGAACACTTCCAATTTAATGTGGATAACATCTTCCAGACATGCTTGGCAAGTCTTTCTACGTACAGTTTGCACATTTGAGAAGATTTACCAGACACTTCAGTGCAGCTTTAACGATGTCTTGACTTATAATAGAGCTGTAAGTGTTGGTGTCTATGGCTTTTTGGCACTATAACATGATCGAATTCCGTGCCTAAGAGGTCAAAATTCAATGAAAAGATGACATAAATAGAACATTAACAAATATTCAAATAATGGAGACCCTAAATGGACTACAATAATTTTACGTACATTCTTTTCGATAAAAACAAGATTGATACAAATTTCCTAGCAATAAAACTTCATAAGTTGAAAAAGAACTTAAAAAAGCCAACTGATTACAGAATATTACAATAGATTTAAGAAAATAAGAACATCAATGTTGGTCTGCAAGAAAAAGTAATTAAAGCCGTTTAAGTATAATACTCACATTAATATTATTCATGCGTTTGCAACAAGAATAAGGTACTCCACAAGCTTTCGAGCTGTAGTTCGTTGAATTACAAGAAAAATATCGATTTTCGGTCCAATCATTATAGCTCTTCGCTCCACAGCACTGCAACTAAGTATGCAGAGGTAAATTGAAAATTGCCAAAAAGAGAGATAAAGGTTACAACATGAAGCTTACCTCAACTTGAATGAAATCCACGAACTTAGTAGAATCTTCAAAGCCTACTTCTCTGTATTGTGAAATAAACGTCTTTTTAATAACTTCTTCAATCCTGCTCATAGCCGACTCTCGATAAATGAAGAAAAATACTCCGATGATTGTTTCACAGACAAACAGAATGGCTAGCGATATATAATACTAATAAAGCAATAGAACGGTGTGCTTGCACTTACGAATTTCAAAAGGCACTGGTTTTCTCTGAGAGATCCAATAAATCCAGTAAATGCTACACACATGGTAATAAAACCAACCCCAAAAACAAGCACAGTAAGGTTGAAAATCCATTGCAAAAGGCTAACACTTGATTTTCTATTCAGTATGCCAGATTCAGCAAAAGCGATAATTCCCAGGACGAAAAATAAGCAGCCGGCAATCCAGAGAATTAAAAGTTATAATTTAGACTAACCATAAAATAGAAATTTGTGACGCATAGCAAATACTTAATCCACCTATTTATGTAGTTAAATTTTCCCGATATATGGTGACGATATGGTTTTCTGGCCATTTTGACCCAAATATCGGGAAGAAAACAAATACTAACAACCCAATCGCCGATAATATTTATGCATTTAAACCAGATTAATTAAATAGTTTATAATATTTTACCACTAATTTGAAATGCAATATTGCCCCCATTATTATTAATTTTATAATTTTATTTACTAAGTTGCTCATTTTATTTAAGGTGAAGTTAAATATAAGCTAATTCTGGCAATTATTTTTGAAGTAATTGAAAGTGAAACTTCTTGTTCATTCAATTTTGATCTGTTAGTTTGCGATTAGTACGATAAGTAATAATTTGCTTTGTCCAGTCATGAATAATATTTCTTTATTTAGTTATGGCAAATGGTAGGCCTTATGATAGTTATCATTAGCCCTTTAGTTACCTTCGGGGAGGAACAGACATTTGCAAAAGATGGATAGGGAAACAGAAGAGTGATTCACAGATGTAAAAGAGGCAGGCACAGGAGTAGTGAAAAAGGTAAAGTAAGTGCTGTGGAAGTGGTCAACTATGTCATACTGGTCATGGTAGTTTGAAATCGAAAGTCAACCACTTGTTCATAGACTTTTTGCTGTATGATAATACATTGCTCAGGGTGCACCACCTGGAGTTAAGTCTACTGTGAACCCCATCTTGAATACTGATAAGTGAGTCTGATTGTTGCCTTATAATATTTAAAGAGGTCCCAATATTCAGCGTAAATAGGAAAAATGGTCACAAACATAATATTTATTTGATATTTTTACGATTCATCCTAACAAAGATAATTATGTAAACAGACGAAAACATAAAACCGTATTATCTGATGGGGGCGTCTATTTAATAGAGCAATAATTGGGCTATGTCAATTTCACAAAATCAAAGCTTAAACTTCCAAGTGTTCAACGCTTAGAGCTATTCACTATGCATATATGACAGCAAACGGGTGTAAGCCAGTTAAAATTTTCTAACTTATCAAATGGTTGAATATTGCTGGATTTCTGAAACACTGAAGGCTTTCGCTTATAAGCTACAAATCCAATTTACCATAGGTGCTGACGCTTGCGCCCAAAAAGAAATGAAGGAAGTGAAGGTGATCTCAGTGTTATTTATTAATCTGAGTTTATGCTTGAAGAAACAACTACGTTTTTACCAAATCTCCATTCAATTGTAGCAAACGTCTTGTCAAGCAGCATATCAGCAATGGGTCTGAGCGGAGATCGAGACTACCTCGCCTGATCAGGGAGGTCCCGAACAGGAAGCCTTCAAATGAGACTACTTATTTCAGACAGAACCTTCTGGTTTCTCCAAACTGTTGACTGTGCGAAAACTTCATAAACTACATTGGTAGCTTAGTCCATTTATACCCTTCGAAAACTGTAGGACTGGAATGGCCACAGAAATATTAGCCAATGCAAATAACTATCGAATTGGACCCATAATACAGCCACTAAATCCAGCACAAACAGAAAATTTTAAGTGGCATGCGCTGAAAAAGAGGGCAACATAAACAACAAATTAAGAGGAACCGAAATTCTGAAAATAATGAAAATAATACCTCTCTGAGTGTAGTTATCAAGGTAGATGCGTTGAAGAAAATCGAAGAAACATAGTTAAAGTACCCTCAATATATCAATCTACTTAAAGATCGAAATCACATTCAAAATCACTCTAGAGGCAAGCGCTACCAACAATGATCCAAGTAAATGGTGATACACCAGAAGATTATGTCAGTAGACCTCCAGGGCTACACCCAGTGTCAGAATCGAGAACAGGGTCCTATTCAGCGTCTTTTATAAGACTGAAATCAGTGATTAAGAATGACCATTGATAACAGATGAATAATTTTGCATAAAAGCAGCAAGAAAGAACCTAAGATGGACCAACATGGAGGAAGTTAAATTAATACACGACGCTTAAGGACTTGAAATACATCGGCAGGTTTCACATGGAAGTAATTTATGACTTCAGGTTTAGCGTTCTCTTTATGGATCAAGAAGATGTGTGAAAAAAATTATAGAGAAGGAAGACCAAATGATTAGCTATACTCATTAAAACTACCGATGTTTTCCGAAAATCCACCCAGAGCAATCAAACGGAAAATTCCATTCATGAAACTATTTTCGGATGTGCGGACTGTAGAGGATTGCTACCCTAGTAAAATCTTAACCGACACATAAATCTCTATGGCAGTATCTCTTATATTTGGATAGTCGCCATGAGCTAGCTAATCCTCAGCGAAGTTGGGGAGGAAAGAGACGTATTGCACAGAATACGTATATTGCAAATAATGAAATCGGCAAAATGCGAATAGTTAACAAATAAATCTCGCATAATTTGAGTGAACAGTAATAGCTAAATATCTCTGATCCTTGTTCTACACCCACGAGCGCACACTCCAAATCCTGGCGTGCGCGCGTGTGTGAGACGTGTCCCACAGGACTTTCGAAAAACTCTGCTACGCGCACAAACTAAATATCATAAACTGCAAGTTATTCATTATGACTATTGAGTTCCACCACAAGCAATGGTTGAAGAAGCACATTCGTGATTTGAATACAATTACCAGCCTTAATTTACTCAGTCATTTGAAGACATTTTTATAAAAATACATCTTTATATATTTCTAAAATACCGCCCAAAATTGATTTTACCCTACTCTATTGATTAAATTTAAAATAAAACTTTAACTAAATATATCTCATTCAAAATTGCTCTACGGGACATTGGTTTGGATCTTTTGTTTTTTTAAAATTAACTGATGATTTCGTAAATATAACACAAAACAGATAGAAACTTGACATTGTAGCCAATTGCTGCACTAATAAGCCTTAACTATACGCAGAAATCTCTATGGAAAATTCTCCCATGTTTGGGGAAGACTCCCAAAACTAGCTAAACTGTTGCAAAACTATGGACGAAACAGACGTACCACACATAGCACGCTTACTTGGGATGTGTGTGAGTAGATCTGCGAATGGACAAGGAGCTTAGCCATTATATTAATGTGGTGGGTTTGACAAACCAAGCGATTACTACGGTCTAGCAGTTGCCTGTGTGGTCTCTGCGCTCATGACCGCACTTATTCCCTGCGCCAAGCTACTCCTCCAAGCCTGTCTGAGTGCGCATGGGGTGTGCGAGAGACTTAACGCCCCGTGGTGCAGCTTGGGCAACGTTACTCATGCTGCAAAAAAGTTTATTAACTGACAGCTGACTTCAAACCACCATGACCAGACTGTGTGCCATATTCGACCATTACACAGTACTCACCTTACCCTTTTCTCTACCTTAATATATGTCTCCTTTACATCTATGGATCACTCTTCTTTCCCCCCCC